GTCGTGCGCAGCATGTGGTACGAGGGAAGTCTAGGCGCGGGCGCCCCTGGAACCCCCGGCGGGATTATCATCGTGAACATGCGCTTGAAGCTTTCAAGCTTCGTGCTGTTGAACGACATCCCGCTCTCGACGATGAACCGCATGATTTGCAGATGCCATGCGCGCTCCAAAGGGTCCGAATAATATGACGTTGTGAGGAAACCCGGGGAGGGGCGCCTACTACTCGCTGAAGCCAAGGGCTACGGCGCCTGTCACTCGCCGCGCCCGCTTCCGAGGTCCTCAGCGACCAGCAGGCATCGAGGTCAGGGGCGCCCTGTCACACTCCCTAGCAGCTTCGACCAACGAGGTGATCCAACTGTCGCTCACCAGTACGTTTCTGCAATCAATTTATAATTCAGCCAATTCACGCACTAAGGGGTTTCAACAGTCAATCGGTGTCACACAGCAGTGCGTTTCAACAGTCAATAGCCACGCCACGCAATGGTGAGTTTTTAGCAGTCAGCTGGGAACAGCAACTAGGTCGCCACAGTAAGTTTTCACAGTCAATCTTTGGATGTGCCACCCCACTTTCTCTTTTCCTCCCTTTCGCCGTTCTCGCTCCCTTACTCACGCAGTTTTCTCTCCCTCAGTCTCGCTGCACTCTCTCTCTCACCTTCGCCATTCCCTCTCTCTCCGTCTCTCTCTCTCTCCCTCTCTTTCTCTCTCTCTCTCTCTCTCGCGCGGGATAGCCCCCTTGTGCTCGAGCAGATTGTAACCAAGCTGGCTCAAAGTTTCAAATGTGATGCTTGATTGAGAAGCTCTCAATCAGCCAGCATTGCATTCCCAAGTAATACCCTGAATGGCAATTTGAAAACGACTCGGTTGAGAGTTTGGGATGACGCCCTCGCCCGTGTTGACCTCGATCGATCCGAAATCAAGTTCCTTAGAATGCCCTTGATTCGGCAGTTTGTAGACGATCGGCCTCTTGAGTCCCGGGAATTAATTGAGTTAAAATCGTACAAACATATGATAAAATAAAAATAAAAATAAAAAGAAGACAAGATAAAAGACCCAATTGTGCTATGAAAGGCAGAAGTATTTGCCTGGATCGAACGGCGAAAATAGTTACCCCTCCCTTTCAGCGGCGGCGTACTCTTGCTTCTTCGGGCTGATCTGTGAATCTGTGAGGTCAATTGTTCCCATCAGCAACGGTAGGCTCTTGCTTGATTGGTCCACTCCCACAGGGTGTTCTGGACAGATCAGCAAACGTTCTTTGGCTAGTCCGCTCACAACAGCTATTCTCAGCAGATCAGCAAGTGGATTAGCCTGCTCAGACAGGCTGTTCTCGTCAGATCTGGAAAAGAACTTTGGCTGGCCCGCTCACAGGGGCTTTTCTCAACAGATCCGCAAGTGTACCTTGATTAGCCTGCTCAAACAAGTTGTTCTCGTCTCTGGAAAAGAACTTTGGCTGGCCCGCTCGCAGCGGCTATTCTCAGCAGATCCGCAAGTGTACCTCGATTAGCCTGCTCTGACAGGCTGTTCTCGTCAGATCTGCAAACGGACTTTGGCTAGCCCGCT